ATCAAGAAAGAGATAGGTGTGGAGCTTCAGGAATGACTAGATCCAGGAGTCTTCATGTTGGCAGAACACTCCCTCCTCCTTTCTAATCTTTGCTTCTCCATGTCTGTTGGCTTCGTTCTCTCCTAGGGCAGACAGACTTTCTCTGCACAGGAGGGAACACAGGGCCTTTGGACTAACATTCTTCCTGCTTGACCACCAGTGAGAGAAAAGACTCTTGCTCTCCAAGCTCCAGGTTTAACAAAATCTCAGGGAAAGGTTCTGATTGTTCTGGTTTGGTTCACAAACCCACTTCCTAAACCAAGCACTGTACCTAAAGGGTACCAAGAGAAAAGATAGGAAGAACCCAACTATGGCCATTCCTCCAACCTATGAAGCAGGCAGACTTGGAGATGGCTGTAAGATATCCATGTGAGACAGTAGAGCCAAATCTGGATATGTGAGCCTGAGGATCTCAGGAAAGCAGTTCATGGAAAACATAGCTGTCGAATGGTTCAGAAAAGTAGTTGATGGCCTTGACAAAATTCATGGCAGAATTTATTCCACAAGCTCAGTAAATACATTAACTTGGGATCATTATTACTTAGATAACCCTTAATATGTATTTTATAGAGGTTTATTTTTTTTAAGTTTATCTATTTTTTTTTTAAGATTTTATTTATTTATTTGACAAAGAGAGACACAGCAAGAGAAGGAACACAAGCAGGGGGAATGGGAGAGGGAGAAGCAGGCTTCCCGCGGAGCAGGGAGCCCGATGCGGGGCTCCATCCCAGGACCCTGTGATCATGACCTGAGCCGAAGGCAGATGCCCAACGACTTAGCCACCCAGGAGCCCCTATCTATTTTTTTAAATAATCTCTACACCCATTTGGGGGCTCTAACTTATGACCCCAAGATCAGGAGTCACATGCTCTTCTGACTGAGCCAGCCAAGTGCCCCTATAGAGGTTTAAGTAGGATCAAACAGTGAAGTTCATAGTTAAAACATAAATTGTTTTTAAAAGAAAGCAAATCTTAGAACAGTATGTATAGTGTGATTCCAATTAAGTAAAGCATAAAGTGTGTGTGCAATTTGTGTGGGTGTGTATACAAGCATGGGTCTGTTTCCCAGGTTTCAGAAAACAATGTGTGCCATATCTACACAGATCTGCTTCCCAGACTATAGACAACTACATGGAACAAGGTTTGCCATATTCATCCAGAACTGCTTGATGAACAGTTTCAAATTTTTTTTTCAAGTGAAAAGTATTATAGGAAAAGTAAAAAAAAAAATTTTTTTTGAGGGAGAGCACACGTGAGCGGGGAGGGGGGTGGGTGGGCTGGGCAGGGGCAGAGGGAAAGGGAGACAGAAAATCTTGAGCAGGCCCCACACCCAGCGTGGAGCCCAACATGGGGCTTGATCTCACGATCCTGAACTGAAATCAAGAGTCGGACACTTAACTGAGCCACCTGGGCACCCCAGGAAAAGTAAAATGTATTCTTCTATCAAAACTGGAAGTTCTTGGGTGCCTGGGTGGTTCAGTCAGTCAGGCGTCTGCCTTCGGCTCAGGTCATGATCCCAGGGTCCTGGGATCGAGTCCCACATCAGGCTCCTTGCTCAGCAGGGAGTCTGCTTCTCCCTCTACCCCTTCCCCCTGCTTGTGTGCCCTCTTGCTCTCTCTCAAATAAATAAATAAAATCTTAAAAAAAAAAAAGTGGAAATTCTTGGAGTCAAATATTTATTTTATCTCCTTTCAACTGGCAGGCATTTGAAGGCATTACCTGATGTGTCTTACTGAGGCCTACAAGGTCCTCTGTGCTCCTCACCTCTTCTCCTACTGCCCTCTCCTTACTTGTACTTTCAAGCCTGGGCCTTCACTGTGCCAAAATCCTTCCCTTAAAGACTCCACATGTATTTTTTCCTCCATCTGGGACACTCTATCTCAAACTTTGGTAGGTTGGTTTCTTCCCATCATTCAGACCTCAGCCCAAATGTTACCTCCTCAGCAAGGTCTTCCCCGACTACCCAGCCACAAGTATCTTACTCTGGCCCCCAACACAATGTGCTCTGTTTTATTTTCCCATGGCACTCACTGTCTCAAATTATATTGATTATGTATACTTGCTTATTGCTTGTCTTGTCCCTGAGAGTGTAAGCTCTGTGAAAGAAGGAACCTTGTCTGGATTGTCGTCCTCCATCCCTACACCAAAGCCTAGCCACTCACTGAATGTTTGTGGAATGAAAAGACATATTGCTGGAATATTATTCAGCACTATAAAGAAATGATGTGTCCAGTCATAAAAAGACCTAGAGGAAACTTAAATGCGTATTACTAAGTGAAAGAAGCCAACAACCTACAAAGGCTACATACTGTGTGATTCTAACTCTATGACGTTCTGGAAAAGGCAAAACTATGGAGACAGTAAAAAGATCAGTGGTTGTCAGGGGCTAAAGGGGAGGGAGGGATGACTAGGTGTAGCACGGAAGGTTCTTACTGCAACTCTGTATGATGTTGGAATGTCATAATACATGTGTTCAACCCCAAAGAATGTGAATGTGTCAAACCCACCAAGAGTGAACCCTAATGTAACCTGTGGGCTCTGGGTGATAATGACACCTCAGTATATGGGTTCAGCGATTGTAACGAATGTCCCGCTCTGGTCGGGGGGTTGTTGATAATGGGGGAGGCTGTATGTGAGTTGGAACAAGGAGTATCTGGGCAATCTGTGTACCTTCTGCTCAGTTCTGCTGTGAACCTAAAGCTGCCCTGAAAATTAAATCTGTTTTTAAAAAACAACAGCATACATTGCCCAAGTTGTTGAAATGATTTACGTGTGTGCGTGGAACATTGAGAAAAATTCTTAACATTGTCAGCATTGCCCTGGGAAAGCTAGAATCAGGAAAGCCTAAACCCAAATTTTAGGCAGTGTTTTCAAAATTGGAGTTCCATATTCTGTGCTTAAATAAATGAAGCAAGTTTCTTTATTAAGGGACCGAGCACTCATGCAGCTCACATATGTGTGCTGTGACTCTCCAGGGTGAAGAGCATATGCAACCATTCCCTAGGATTTGATCCAGAACCTATTCTTCATGCCATGTCCTTATCATTAATGAGCCTAAATCCAGCTGAATGCCAGTGGTTAGCCTGTGGAGCAGCTTTAAATAGTCAAATATTTCTCCTCAGAACCAATCCAACACAAATTAGTTAGTATCTTGTTTTGCTGATTCCAAACCACTAGAATCTAAGTTCCATGGCAATAACAGTTTGTGTCTGTTTCCTTTACTATTATGTTCCCAGTGTCCAGAGCAGTGCCTGGCATGTAGCAGGTGCTCAATAAAATATCTGTTGAAAGAATGAATGAATGAGCAAATGAATTAACAACTTTTCTTCTGTGAAAAGGGCAGAAATTCTGGTACAAGGTAATTATACCAAATTTTGATCCAGGTGTTTCATATTTCCGGGCTCCTTGTGTAATATTTATACTTGCTACAGGTTTTCTCAAAGCATTTTTTTTTCTGAATGGACACATTGAAGGAGTTAAGAAAATGAAGGAAGAGTGATGGCCTTGGGCTCTGACCCTACCCCATTGGTGATAATGGTCGCTAACATTTGTGTTGTAATTTCTAACAAAAGCTATTGCATTTAGCTCTCAAAACACCTGTGAGGCAGGTGTTATTACCTTCACTCTCAAGAGGGATGAGAGACACTCTCCCAGTGTCACCCTGGTGATATTAGATCAGCCTTGATCTAAGTTCTGGTCTTAACACGTCAAAGTCCATGTTCAGTCCATGGCCCCCGGCTGCCTCCCCAGCTGACCGTGTGTCCTGGGAAGCCATTTCTCCTTTCTTGGTTCCCACATCTGGAAAATGCCCAGGGGATTTCTTAGATTCCTTCCAACTTTACGTTCTATGACTCTATGAGACTCTTTTTTTTTTTTTTTTCTCCATCTGAAGTGCTATAGCTTTAAAAATGCTAAAATAGTATCTTATTCCTTCTTGCAATTGCACAGCTCTTTCAAAAATCTGATTGAGGTGCTAAAAAAATCAAATAAATTATGAAAATGTTCTCTTTCTTTTTAAGTAATGCCTGGAAACAGAATACCTTAACAAAGAGTGAACTGAGGGGCACCTGGGTGGCTCAGATGGTTGGGCGTCTGCCTTCGGCTCGGGTCATGATCCCAGGGTCCTGGGATTGAGTCCCACATCAAGGTTCCTGCTCAGTGGGGAGCCTGCTTCTCCCTCTGCCTGCCACTCCCCCTGCTTGTGCTCTTCCTCTCTCTTTCTGGCAAATAAATAAATAAAATCTTCAAAAAACAAAACAAAAACAAAGAGTGAATTGGGTTTGTTAAGCATAGTGTCCTCAGAAACATCTTCCTCATTAAAAAAGAAGAAAAAATGCCACCCTTGGGAAAAAAGCACGGGCCTCCTGCTAGGAGCTTATTTCAAAACAAAAGACATGGAAGAAAATTTTCTAGAAATGAAGCCATTTAGAACAGAATAAAAATAAATAAATCTGAAATAATCACCTAGTAGCGAAATAAATAAACCTTTCCATAAAGAAAAGGCAAAGCCTGGCCTTCACTTTATTTTATTTTTTTAAGATTTTTTTATTTATTTATCTGAGAGAGAGAATGGGAGACAGAGAGCATGAGAGGGGGAGGATCAGAGGGAGAAGCAGACTCCCTGCGGAGCAGGGAGCCCGATGCGGGACTCGATCCCGGGACTCCAGGATCATGACCTGAGCCGAAGGTAGTTGCTTAACTAACTGAGCCACCCAGGCGCCCCTTCACTTTATTATTTACCTGGTAAATTCCCTTTGTATGCAAAAATTTGTATCATTCACATATCTTTGTCTGTTTAAACAAGGCAATTAAACTGCTGTTGGGCCACACAGCCAACAGAGCGAGTGAGTTATATGTTTCTTCTCCGTAGGACATTTTGTTTTGCCTCAAACTTTTTTTTTTGCAGCCATATAGAAATAATTTACTTTTGGTGTCATGTGAAAAAAACTTTACACAGAAAAATCAGTATTTGCACATCCTTTTTTAGGTTTTATTGTGCTAAAAAGTAGAATCCACACAGGCCAAAGAAAACCCCAAAACAAACATGCAAAATATTTTTGTGCACACCTCTACCGCACTACTTTACACTTTTGAAATCTTAAAATTAAAAAAAAAAAAAATTCCAAAGCAAGAGTACCCGGGTTGAAAAGCTAACGTTATAAAAGCTAGATTCCTAACACATACACTGCAGACACAAATCACTCCGTTGCAAAAAGTTAATGTTTGTAAGTGTTAAATGAGGAGACATGAACGGGAGATCCGAAGCGTGCTCCCCACTAGGAACTATTAGAAATTGTTTGGTGTCCTAGGACATCCCTGATGGTGAGATAGATACAACCTTAACCCCAAAGCTACGCCAAACTTGCAAACACCGAGGGAACCCCATATTCAAAACTACCTTCTTCTCCTGCTACCTTTAAAATTGTTTTTTTGTTTGTTTTGGGTTTCGGTAAATAAAAGAGTCCCTCAGAATCGACACTCGTTCTCTCTGAGATGTAGAAAAACCGATTCAGTAAATGACCATGATGAAGTCCTTCTTTGAGATGCTTCAATTTTCTTTTTAATGATCATGTACTTTTTTAATGGTCGCACGGGCATGCGTGCGTCCATGTGTGTGTAAACCCTTTTAAAAGATATTTTTGGAAACTTAAGTCTTGGGAACTGTTTTTCCTTTCCTCGAGACCAGTCCCTGAAAATGTGTTTTTTGTTTTCATTTTTGCTTTAAGAGAAAACCTGCCTAGAGCTTTTCTGTACAGCCAGCAACCTCCTATCCCTGTATATTTGAACTTTCCAAAAATAACAGAATGCTCCAAGGTACTTGTTTGCAACTCCTGAAAAATCTCCAGTCACTCCCAGCAGATTTTACTGCCTGGTACTTTAGATTCACTTTCTTACTGCACCACAGGTAAAGAAGGGCCCCGTGGTAGGAGCACAATTATGTCCCTCCTGGTGCTCCCTCAGGAACATGGCTTCACCCTTGGAAAAAAAGCACGGGCCTCCTGCTAGGGGCGCATCCTGCTGCTGCTTTCTCCCTCAAGGAGAAGGGACACACTCAGGTAGAAAGGCAGTCCCCTGGAAGCCTCAGTTCTCAGAAGAAAATGTTCTAATGCATTCTCATAAAACGTGCAAAGAGAAAAATCCAAAACAGGAGTGAGGAGAGAGTAGCAGTGAGTTGGAAGAGTGCCTAACTATTGTGTTCAAGTGAGAAACACCCCCTCAGACTGCCTGCTTCCATGCCTTGTTCAATGAGCATAATAACAGTGCTTCCTGAAGGGAAAGAGAATGTACCATTTCCAGCCTCAGAAACTAAGCTGCTCTCTTCGTCACCAAACAGCTTTAAAATGCTTACTTAGCCCAAACTATCACTAATGTTTTAAAGAAGTTTGAAGACCCAAGTCTATTTCAATAAATACTTAAATAAGTTCTAGATCAACTTGGCTCATACATTTTCAAACTATGGGCCCAAATGGCAAACAAGTACATTATCAGTCCCTCTTCTTCTCCCAACGGTCGACATCCCTGCACGTACTCAGTGTGCGGCACTGAAAGGAACACTTGAGAAGGATGGTGCAGGTCTGAGGTGGGAGGTACGGCCAACACTGGCATTTTTACTGAGGCTGGCAGAAGGTAAGGCTCCTCTCTCCATGCAGAGTTTGGGCATGTTCTCGGCCTATTCTGCCATCCTGTTTCAGACACCGTCTCTCTTTTCTTGTCCACAGGTCATTATGCCTGTTGGGGGAAGGGGCACTGAGGAAGACTTCATAAGTGAGCAGTCACAGGACTGGGAGAGAAATACATGCACAAGACCGGGACATTCACGCTCACGAACTTCATAAGCAAAACAAAGGCTAGACGCAACCCAGAGTCGCTTTAAAATCTCCTCTCACACACAGCAAAGCAAAACTGGAAAAACCCAATTCCACTTTCCCATCACAATTCAAAAAGGAGCTAAACCTTCTGGGGACATAGGATGTCTTAGACGTGAGCCAGAGATGTCTGTAGCATGAGCCAGAGCCCTTCCTAAAGCCCTGTCAACTGCCCCACAGCTCCTAGAAGACACCTCCTAGACGCCTGGACTCCCTCAGAACGCTCAACTCTGTTCAAGTCTGAAGTCTGATGCCCAGAGGTAGCTCCGAGACACTAGTAATGGAATAACACTTCCTTTTTTGGTGAGGAAAGCCCAATCGGTCTCAGCTAACAAGCCCTCAGCTATGGCTCTAAAAATACCCCACAGCGAGTACTGTTTAGCACTTCGTTCTGTTTGCCAGAGGAGCTCTAGAGAACTCCAACACACGCTCCAGATTCTCCATGACCGCTCTGAGCTCTGTCCCTGCTCTGGTGACCTCAGGGAAGGGTATCGCTTCGAGAAAATGACTTTTTTGTTTTCCACTCTGGAGTTCTTGGAATTCTGTCCTGAACATCTGAATTACCACTCCAGCCTTGGATTAATTACTAGCTTGGTTGAGGAATCTTCATTTGGCTTCTAGTCTGAACTATGCAAATACACGATCTGTGTGCAGAAGGAAGGACTAAAATTATACTTCAAAAGGGCTCAGTAGCTTCCTGTGTTCCCCCTTTCCCCCAAAAAGAAACATCAGCCTCCTTGAATCCTTTATTGTCAGCAGCAGGAGCAGCTCCCGGCCTGTCCGCATCAGACGCTCTGGGCTCCCTAAACGTTGATGGCGTGTGCGTGCTTCTTGCACAGGGGTTTGTCCTTCTTGGAGTAGAATGGCTGCCCCTCCAGATTCACATGGCAGACCTGGGACAGAGGACAGACAGGTGTGAGGCGGGCCTACCTCTCCCCACTACAAATTCCTAATGACGTAAGCAGAGTAGACAATCGAACTACATAACATTTAAGACTTCCAAAGAGGAACACAGAACTAAACTCAAATTAATGAAATGGAATACAAAAAAATATACAAGATGAAGATGATCGATGGATGCTGTCCAAAGTTTACAAGACACCAGTACAAAATCGTGAGTCAATATCCACGGGGGCGATTAACATCCAAGAAAATACCATTAGGAAACTAACAAACACATCAGAAAAGATTATCCTCACTAATAAGTAAAGGAAAAATAAATTAAAACCTCCGTGAGAGACCCCTAAGTATCTATTAATCTAACAAAAACAAAAACCCTCAGTCGCTTGTTACCTTTAACCTTAGAAAACTGTAGCCAAAAAAAAAAAAAAAAAAAAAAAAAAAGGTATCAATCAACAGTTAACAACGCCAAAAGGGAATCAGGCCTACTTGTGCACTGCTAGGGACACCACTCGGTGAATCAGCTCAGTCTTCTGTAGGGGATGTGGCAACACTGAAGAGGGGCTGTAAAGATGTGTCTGCCCAGTACCACTCAGGAGGAGTTTATCTTGCAGAAATGATTGCACAGAACAACGTGTGCTCAAGTGAAAACTGAAAACCACTAAAATGTCTCTCTATGGGGAGATGACTAAGATTCTTACAGTACATTTTCCAATGGAATGCCACCAGGAAAAAGATCAGTCAAATATGGAAAAGCGTATGCAGGGAGACAGTATATGAAAGAAAAAGAGGCAAAATTATATATCCCCATGATGACATAATATGAGTGCAGTTTGAAGATGGAGACATCACAGAAAGAAGAAAGCTAAGTAATGTATGTTGAGGCTACTGTGGGTCAAGCAGGAGGCCACTCTACATACATGATCTCATTTAATTCTCACAAAAACTTATGGGAAGGTATGACTTTTCCCCATTTCACAAGGGAACAACTGTGGTTCATAGAGCCAAGCGTCCCACTTAAGTCACAGACCTAGCAAGTTGTAGAGCTGGGACTCGGTGTCCAGGTCTGCAAGACCCTAGATCTAGCTCATCTTCCCCATACCCCACCACAGAGGGGGGGCTGTGCTTACTTGAAATTGTTCTGGGCTTGTGGGACTTGTATTGAGGTAGCCCTCCAAGTTTGTTGGACTACCAGTGTGTAGGCTGGCCCTGGGTGGGCAGTATGCCAATGTGTCAGAGTCAGCTGGGAAGTCACATAGGCTGGGATGAGCCCCCGGGTCATAGAGGGCACTGAACATACCAAACAGGGAGCAGAAGTAGGGACCACATCCAGGACACTGACATCAGAAGAAGTGCAGATAGAGGTGTCTGGGTGGCTCAGTCAGTTAATCATCCAACTCTTGATTTCAGCTCAGGTCATGATCTCAGGGTCATGAGATCAAGGCCCATGCTGGGAGTGGAGCCTGCTTAAGAATGTCTCTCTCCCTCTCCCTCTGCCTGTCCCCGCCCCCACTAAAAAAGAAAAAGGAGGAGGAGGAGGGCAGCAGGTAGAGTTCCCACATACAAAAGGCATGGGGATAGAGAAATCACCCTCTTGAGATGAGCTTAGCTCAGTGAGCATGTGACCACTCCAAGACAGTTGGAAAGAAAGGTGGCATCACAGTGGTCCCATGTGCTTAACCCCTCACCCAACCCCCAGACAGGAGCTTAATCCATCATTTTATTTTTTTAAATATTTCTTATTATTTTTTATTGAGAGAGAGAGCACGAGTGGGGTGGGGCAGAGGTAGAAGGAGAGAGAATCTTAAGCAGACTCCACACTCAGCACAGAGCCCAATGTGGGGCTCCATCTCATGACCCTGAGATCATGACCTGAGCTGAAATCAAGAGCTGGATGTTTAACCAACCGAACCACCCAGGGATCCCATCTCAGCCCTCATTTTATATGCTTAGGACTTTAGAGAGGCTGTCTTGTTCTATTCTTTAATTGCTTGTATATGTCAACTTTGTTTTCTTTCAAGATTCCAAACTCCTTGAAGGTGGAGCTTTGTTCAGAGATACTCTTGTGTTCCCCAAACTCAAGCAATATTTGGTAAATTGAATTAGTCTAAAGTTATGTGCTCTCCTGAGATCTAACTGGTGGGAAAACAGCTTATCAGCTGGGAGAGCTAGTTCTGATCTTCCTTTCTTATTAATTTTTTAATTATAAGAAAATATATGCTCATCAAAGATGATTTAGCAATATAAAGTGATGGAAAAGGATTCCCCTTGCCCCCCCCAAAAAAAAACCCTCACAGTTTTCCAATCAAAAGATTCCTTTCCAAAAATTAAAACCAAAACCATGTTTCACTTCGCTATACCTTAACAGGGCAGTGAGTGCCACACAGGGCCACTTAGGAGGAAGATGTAATGATTCATTCACCACGCTGATTCTCCAAAGGACAGGATCTGCCTGGCTTCTTTAGATGGATCCTTCTGCAGTGCTATGGGTCTCTCACACCTTGCCAGAACTTATCTGTAATCTTGGCCTGAACAACCCTATGCTTTACTGCTTCTTCTGGTCTCTCTCTGGGATTTGTGCCACTGTGATTCTCAGCCAAACTCAGTGGGCTCAAGGGACAGACCCATGCTCACCTTTTCCATGGTACCCTCTCCATGTGACACAGACCTCTCGTCAGCCTGCCCTGAGAGAACAGGCCTTCTGTGTCACAGTCTGCCCTGGACCTTCTCCAAGTCTCTTGGATCCTTCTAGAAGTTGGGCACCCAGACTTGCATGCAGTGTCTTAGGATCAGACAAGCCATGACTTGAATGTCAGGGTCAGAGGGCCCTATGTGCCTTGCTGAGCCATTGCTCTTTAGGGGATAACCAGAAAGCCAGTATATTCACATTGTTGTCCGTTTTCAGAGGGGAGGACCTGATGTATTTAAAGGACCCTAAAAGACAATTAGAAAATCTATTCCAAAAGCTGGAAAATCGGAGTGTTTAGATTGAATTGTGTTGTTTCTTCCCCCAAATTCATATGCTGAAGTCCTTACTCCCAGTACCTTCAATCTATTCGGCGCTGGGACACACCAGTGACCTTATTTGGAAGCAGGATCTCTGCAGATATAATTAAGATGTAAGTTAAGATGAGGTCATGCTGGAGTAAGATGGGCCATTAATCCAGTAGGACCAGTGTCCTTATACGAAAAGGAGAAGCATATAGAGACAGACACACACAGCAGAGAAGGCCATGCAAAGACACAGACACACAGAGGGAAGGATGCCATGGGACATGGAGCCGAGACTGAAGTTCTGCAGCTGTGATTCAAGAAACACAGAGACTGCTGGAAACCACCAAAAGCTAGGGGAGAGCACACGGCCCTGCCGACATCTTGAATTTGGACTTCTAGCCTCCAGAACTATGAGAGAGTCCATTTCAGTTGTTGAAGCCATCGGATTTGGGTACATTGTTACAGCAGAGTCAACACAGTGCACCTCTTGCATGGTGGAGTGTACATGTGGTGTAGACACTGAGGTGCATTGCAGTAAACTTTATGATGAGGGTTGTCCTATATCATAAGCCTATAAAAATAGTTCAAGTTTAAACTGCATGGATATTTGATACATGGCCACACTTTACCTTGAGCAGCTCTGATAAAACCAAAACAAAACAAACATAGTAGCAGCACATTAATTTTCCCAAATAAAGTTCAGTCAACTGCAGACTCACATCACAGGCCTTTCTCAGGGATGAATATTTCCTTAATGTAAGGCAGAGTCCTAATGTCAGTGAGCTCATTGCTGTGTCCGCGCCCCCCTCCCCCAACCCAGAGTCCTCGTAAGGAAAATGCCAACCTCATGGGAAAAATGACTTGGCTGTTCAGGAGAAATAGATGGCACATGGTTAACAGGTCATCTAGGGCTTATCTCCTGGCAACTACATATCAGGAGCAAGACCATTTAGGAAAATAAAATGATACTCAGCCCCGATTCCTAAAGGTTCTCTCAAAAGAAGGCTTATCTCAGCTTTTCATAGAATGAGTCAACAAGCTCCAATCTAGTGTTTCATTGTGAAAATTTAGGGGAAAACCCTCGAATCACTTCATCATATCTAAAGCAACTTATCATCATAGGAAACCATCCTTCTTTATTCTGACCCAAGCATCATTCACTGCTCCCAACTATTGAGAGCATTCCTGGTGAGACAAGCTGCTGGTTTGACATTTCCTTAATGAAATGGAGAGTAACAAAGCCACTTTGGTTTAGAAGTAATTATTAGTAATAAACTTTGCTTGACTGTGACATATCCAGCATCATGGTACTTGCCAGCTTTTAAAAATGATCAGCATAGGACGCCTGGGTGGCTCAGTTGGTTGGGCGACTGCCTTCGGCTCAGGTCATGATCCTGGAGTCCCGGGATCGAGTCCCGCATCGGGCTCCCTGCT